GACCCCACAAAATTTTGCCCTTTTTTTTCTATTTTGATGCACTCGTCGGGATGTCAAATGAAATCAAAATATTGCATTCTTAATATCATTTCGAAATGCTCATGACCTAATTTTTCACTCATCAATGGCATGCGGAGTGGTGAAATATAGCAAAAGTTATAACATGTTAAAGTAGGGCGTTTGAAACTAATATTTTGAAAATTTCGATAATATCCTAACTTTAAAAATTCGTTTGCGATCATGTGTCATCTAAATCTACAAATTGTTTTTTTTTTTGTTTTTAAAAATTCAATTAATTATTATTTTTGCACGATAAGTTTTTCAATATAATTTATATGGTTTCATTCAGAAATCTTACATGAAATATGACGTAAATTTTTTAGAGTCGTTACGGATTAAATGCAATTTGAATTACTTTCGTATTATATTTGCTTTAAATTTAAATTTCATTTACTTCTTGAACTAAACTTGAATTTTATTTTAATTCATTTAATTTCTATATTCAAATTAATTTAGTCAATGTTAGCTCAGCATTTGCTAATGAAATGATAAACAAAACTATACAAGTAGCAAAATTTATTTAATAATATTAATAATGATATAATTATACGACATTTTTAAAGTGTCAAAATACATATAAACTTATTTTCATTGATATTATGTTGTTTATTAAAAAAATTATGTTTAAAATTTTGACCCCACAATACTAAAGGTCTGAATTCACACCTGCCAGTAAGACTGAGTATACCTCACCCTTAAATTTTTGTTTTTATTTTGTATGCTAGGTTTGTTCCACCTCATTCAGAAACGAGACAATAGTGGTCCGTCGACAAGCTCATCGACTTGTGCCAACCTTATGGAATGATGTAGGCTCCATGCTAGAAGGATGAAATTTTCGGGTTTTGGATCAAATTCAGCTTCGTCCAATAATTCGGCTGGCATAACTTTCGAAATATCACGGACAAAATGATTGACAAGAAAAGGAAACATCTTGATGTCGGCGTCATTTTGCAGAAAAATAGTCACATGGGATAGTTGTAATAATATAATCATCTTATTTATTGTGATTTTGCATTGCATTAATGTTGATAACTTTTCAAATCACCTTAGGCCCCATTTGAGAGTGATTTTATGATCGTTAGGAAAAAAATGAGGGTCACGTGTGAGAGAAGAAGTCAAATTTTACGAATAGAATAGTGAAATAATGGTTAAAAAATCAATTTTTTTGGGTGAAAAATCACTCACTAACAAGCTTTAAGTAACTCAAGGTCATGAACTCATATATAATTAACCCTACTCTGTCCTTGTGCTTGAGTCCATTTTTTGGGGGGAAATGTGTTATGGAATAGATTTTTTGAATAATGTATTGTTGAAAAATAAGAAAATTTTGATTTATGTGTAAAATTATTTTATTGAAAAATGAGTTTTGAAAAATTGAGTCCAAATGTAGGATTATTTTGCACCGTAAAATGGAAATAACTAATGTTGTTCGATATGGCAACTCCATTTGGGCAAAATTTGTACATTACTTATTGAATGATTAAACTTCATTTTCATCAACACATTTCAATGAACTCGCCCATTATTTATTTCTATCTATTTACAAATTCTTTCCAAATGGATTGAGAAACTACTGATGTTTCAATGGTGACATGATATGTGACTTATGTTGTTATTTGACTAGTACTGTATGTTAAATATTTTGTGATAGTTTAAATTGAACAAAAATGTCATTTTGTAATTAAGGAGTGTTGACGAAAAACAAATATAATTAATTCAATTTCACTTTGAGCTAATTAAAAGGGGATTTTGCTATTGATTATGTGCTAATATGAGTTGATTAATATTTGCTATATCTTTTTATCGAAATTTTGAAAGTTGATGGTGTTTAAAATTTTACGAAATGTTAGTAACATTTAAAATAAAGAAATTTGGGCATGTCTAGACCATTTCGCGCACATAGCATCGGATAAATTTAGAAAGTGGAAATTCATAAAGCAAGAAAAGAACATGAAGATATGTTTGCCCCAATGAATTATGAATTGGGACCGGAGTTCACCAATTGTTTGGATATGTCTACGTTGAGGATCCATCTTAAAGGATTAAGTCCCTTAGACTAATACGAATCAAGAAATCAAGTGTTACAAGAGTTTGCTCTTTGTCTCCAACCAAGAACAACATCCAGATGTAAACACATTACACGAAAGCTTAAAGAACTTATCTTCGATGATACCCAATGCCACGGGAACAAACTGCTATCGCAACCCTATCGCCCAAATCGAAACCTTCCCAAGGCGATAACCACTGCTCTACAATATTTCATAACCATCCAAGACTATACAAGTTCTCTCAGCATTGGTCGCAAAAATCACTCACTCACAAAAAGAATTAAAAATGTGGAGAAAGTTCCAAGTCATCACTCAACATGAAAGTTTTTGATCAATCATAATGAATTCTCTTAACACTAGGGCAAAAATCCTTGTATCCCTCTTTAATGGCTTTGATTCTCTATTCGAGATTGAAGGGTTTGCTATATTTGTATAAATGGTATCTAACAAATGCGACCATTGCGAAAATAGGACATATTGTTTCATTTTTTGCAAAAATGTCCTCATTTCAATATTTGGCAACGAATTCGATCTCTATAGTCACTTACCAGTTAAAAGGTCAATTTCTCCACTAAAAGTTGAAATGGGGGCGCTGTCGAGAATAAAACGATAGGTTCTATTTTTGCAAAGACCCTATACTTTAGGTACCAATTTGCAAATGGACCTGCGATACTGTCTTTGATATGAAAATATCATTTTTTATTATTTTTATTTTTTTAACCCAAAATTGTCCTAACGTGTACCTGCGTTCTTCGTGTAGAAAAATATAATAGAAGACAATTTATTGGGGATTTAATGTAGTCAAAACTGCCAACTAAACAATAAATTTCCAGCTAGATTAGGTCCAAGACAAGGGAAAACTGACCATTGATTTGATGAGGGATGTGTCCCAACATGACTACGCGTCCAATGTTAATCTATTGTTCATTTTCACGTTATCAAACACGTTACGTTATTTATGTTTTGTTACTTACAGAGTAAACAAGTAATTTAAGTTCTATAGTGAAGTAAAAAAAATAAGTTACTATATTAGATTGCGATAAGTGATCTACAAAATATAAAGCGTGAGTTTCACATCTAGACGTACAATGTCTTATCCAACTTGTAACAAATTTAACTAATTATATTAGGGGGGAAAAAAACTTGATAATAATAATAACCATGTTTATGTTACTAATAATTCTTTGAGAAAATTATTATTGTTCAATTACATTTTGGTTTTTTTTTTTTTTTTAAAATTATAGCAACACATGAATTTCATTGACGAATATCATCCAATGTCTCAATTAGATCATACCTTCTCTAACATATCTAATTCAATAAAACTAGACTTTTGACTTCCAACCATGATGGGTGCCCATAAATTCAAAGTGAGACACTAGATTTGTGCCCATAAATTCATTGAGACGCCTTTTATGATAATCACGTGACTAATTTGTTAATCAGATTAGGATTAAACTCCTTGTACAGACCCATTTGCACAGGGTCTGTATAGGGCCTCTCATATGGGGGTGGACCCCACATGTGGACCCCATGTGTGGGGTCCACCCTCATGTGAGAGCATCTGTACAGACTCTGTGCAAATGAGTCTGTACGAATAGCATTTCCCATCAGATTATTAGAAACTAGTGCTTCAATTTTCTTGATTTTCTTTTTCTTGTTTTAGGTATATACATTTTTCGAAGAAACTAGACTTTCAAATCTACTTTTATGGGGAAAATTAGGGTCGTGCTTTGGGCTTCAAAGTGGAGGTCTAAAAAAAATCATCAGTTTAGACATTAAGTGCCTATTTTGACCCAAATTACCTGAAAATGAAAATGGGTGAAATAATATTTTTTTTAAAAATGAGTGGTTGAAAAAGAATGAAATTATTTTGATTTACGTGTAATATTATTTTATGAAAGATTGTATGGTTGAAAATAAGAGAGAGAAAAATGGAATGTAATGTAATTGAATTTCATGGGATCAAACGGGGGCTAAAACTTCATATTTTTACGAAAACAAAGTAACGACAAATTAAGCCCCGTTTTGCCCCCGCTTTTGGAAAATGAAAATGGGTGGAATAGTATTTTTTTTAAAAAAAAGAGTGGTTGAAAAAGAAGGAAAAATTTTCAATTTACATATCATATTATTTTATGAATGATTGTGTGGTTAAAAATAAGAGAGAGAAAAATGAAATGTAATAAAATAAAATTTAGGATTGTGCTGTGTGTACACTAAAATAATGATTGTGTGGTTAAAAATAAGAGAGAGAAAAATGAAATGTAATAAAATAAAATTTAGGATTGTGCTGTGTGTACACAATAGTGTACACACAGCCTTACACCCCCTCACATGGAGGGAGGTCCATATGTAATAAAATATTCGTGGGCCCTCCTCCATATGAGGGGAGTGCAAAGCTGTGTATAAGGTGTACACACAACTTTATTCTTGTGTGTTCTCAAAAGTCAAATGTCTAAAACATGCAGCAGTATACGTGGATCCCTAAAATCTACAAACTAGTCCGCTTTAATTGCCGGCTGTTAAAATAATGTCAACTAGGCTATGAATTCAAATCACTGTGTACACACAGTCTCACACCCCCTCACATGGAGGGCGATCCATATATAATAAAATATTCGTGGACCCTCCTCCATATGAGGGGAGTGCAAAGCTGTGTATAAGGTGTACACACAACTTTATTCTTGTGTGTTCTCAAAAGTCAAATGTCTAAAACATGCAGCAGTATACGTGGATCCCTAAAATCTACAAACTAGTCCGCTTTAATTGCCGGCTGTTAAAATAATGTCAACTAGGCGATGAATTCAAATCATATAACGATCAAATTCACGTAAACAAATGACATTGTAGTGGAGTCAAGAATCATTCAAATTAAAAATCATTTAAATAAATAAAAAAATCTCTTTCTCGATTTTTGTCTCATTTTAATATTTAACAGTTATCTCCCAATTTTTTTAATCCTTCTGCATTCTTCGTTTCCAAAACCAAAGTTTGATGATCTTTTCTTCTGTTCACGTTTTGGAAACTTTCAAGCAAAACCCACTTTTTTTTCCTTCTTTTTGCTTGTTCCACTTTTGATTAGTCGTTGTCTGCATTAATTAATTTCGTGGGTGTATGATGAAATTTACATAGATTATTTGTGGGTGTGTGATGAAATTTTTTGGTCTGGATTGAACAGAAGAAGAGTTGTAATGGAGTTTTTTCTTGCCAAAAGAGACAAAACCAGAACAAATTTTGTGAAAATCATTCTTTTCAGTTTTTATACATCTCTGGTTTTGACGTCTGTCGCACAACTTCTGCCTGAAGAAGAAGGTACACTCTCCTCCATTAAGCAATATCTCTATGCGTTTTTGGTAAAGAAAAATAAGTAAGAATTAAAGAGGTTTTTTTGTTTAATTGTGATTCATGTACTGCCTAGTAGATCTGGTAAGTTAATCTGGGCATTGTTTCGCTTGATTTATTTTTATTTTTTGCATGTTCTATGGATCTAAATTTATTGCCTGTTGAGTGTTTTATGAATTATTTCTTGTTATTGATTGCTGGTACTTTTTAAATTATGTTATTGTTAGTGTAATATTAAAACGATAAGAAAGAAATGGACTTCCTATGTCAATTATTTTAAAATAATGGATTTTTTTTTCAACTTTTCATTCAATCATTTCTCTTAAGATGAGATAAAAAACTGTCAATCAATTTTTCAATATAATTGGGCCCATGTTTTCAGTTATTTAGATGAACTTTAGATTTTCTTTGATTTTTCATATATTCTACGGTTGCGTTCATGCTTTACAGTACAAGTTCTTCAAACAATATCATCGAGATTACAGAACAAACATTGGAATCCTACACGAAGATCTTGCAGTGAGGGTACCGGTTTTAACGTGACCATTTGGGGTGACGATGTCTACAGCAATGTGACATGTGATTGTTCATTTGTTAACAACACTGTTTGCCATGTTACACACATGTATGCTCTTACTCTTTTTTCATTCAAGGTTTTTGTGATTATAACCTTACACATTTTGGTAATGTGGACGTGATAGTATTGGACAATAGTTAACAACAAAAGCAAGTTAAAATCTTTGGCTAACAACAAAGAGTAAGTTTTAGCCCAATATGCATAGAGCATGTCTGACCAAGTCTAAAGAGAAAAGTAAAACTACTAATTTTCAAAGAAGTAAGTTTGTGAACGAACAAGTCAATTTTTCCTTTTCTTTGATCAACGAGTTTGGAGAAAACGTTGCTTAAAAATACTTTTGAGCTTAGATATATGTCTGGCTAAGCTTAGAAGTTGGTCCGCTAAGCTTAAAAGTTAAATATGCTTACACTTTTGTGACTTTGCCTTCGTATTCTAACAATTGAGTTGATTTAACTGTTATTTTTCTGGCTGAATCGAGTAAATAATACTGATACTAAAATTTAATCAATTTCATTGTATTTATGGCCACCATAATCGCTGTGGGATGGGCATTTGCATTGAGAATTTAAGAAGAAATGCAATGGTTACGAAGCCCCTGTTCGATCCCCATTTTTTGAGAATGATTTTGTGAGGTGACAAATGATGAATGTGTGATTTAAATGTAGGAAAAAGTTTTGAATTTACTTGCAAAATTTTTTGTGAAGAATGTAGTTCAAAATGAGTTTAAAAGAATGAGTCTCAAACAGAGGCGAAATGTCATTAATGACATGCATATATGAGACCTTCTTTCATTTAGCCCAGGGAGTCAATTTTTACAACTAATGTCTTGTTTCTTTCTCTAATTTTACCCTCAATGGGGGTGGTCTTATGTTGAATTGAATGATTAATTCGATCACTATTAATTTTGAAAGTTTTATTTATTTAACTCACCTTTAAATTCAATTCCTCAATTTTGTATGTACAGCCAGATGAAGGGTTTCAATCTGACTGGAACCTTACCTGCAGAATTTGCAAATCTTACTTATCTGGAAGAGTTGTAAGTAGCAATATTGTTATATTGGGTATTTCTATCGAGTTGATTGTATATGCGTGCCGATCCTTTACTTTCATTTGTTAATTTGCATAGACACTATGGTTTGATGTGAGTCTGTTTTTGCTTCTGAAATTAAAGCAGTTGTGTCTGGCTAAAATTGCTATTCTGTTTTTCTTCCTCTAATTTTCATTTAAAGCATAACACTTAACGTGACTTCTTTATATCCCAGAGATCTAACTCGCAATTATATCAATGGATCAATTCCTCCAAGCTTCAATCGGCTTCGTCTTAGAATTTTGTAAGTTCTTGTTAATGGGACCTCAATACCCTTGTCCCGACCTACCTATATAGAGAGGTTGATTATATTAACAATTATGTTCATAACAGGTCACTTCTTGGAAACCGTATTAGTGGTATAATTCCGGAAGAAATTGGTGACATCGCCACTTTGGAACAGTTGTGAGTGATAAATTGTTGTTATAGGATATCTATCTGGGAACAATATTACTCAGTTGTGATTATGATTTGAACTGTACTGGTAGGATTTTGGAAGATAATCTGCTTGAAGGAAATATTCCGCCAAATTTGGGAAGTTTGAGCAATTTGAGAAGACTGTAAGACCACTTTACATGATCTCGATGCTGTTTTATATTAAGTTTTCGAGCCTTTCTCTTATTCATCTTGTAATATGGTTGAGATGGTTGTATTTGTTACTTCCTTCTAGAAATCTGAGATGTTTTCTAGTTATTGTTACACTTTTTTCTAACTTATAATGTTAAATCTCTTAACTTCAGTACAAGGAAGCTCATAAATGCTTTTATAGTCTGCCCATGATTGTTTTCTGTTTAATATTATGTCTATCCTTTTTCCTTGTTATGGAAACTTACTTTACTTCCTTTCCATCTAAGGGGAGAATAGGTGTTTATTTTCTTTTCCATATTTGGATTGCGTTATTTCTATATGCATAATTCTAATTGAATGTTGAGGCTAAGGTTCCCATTGTTGTTGCCAAGATAATTCAGGTTGCTAATATTGGACATTTACCTGCAGCCTTCTTTCTGCAAATAATTTCACGGGGACAATACCGGAGGAATTTGGCAATCTAAAGAACTTGACTGATTTGTAAGTCATACACTATATTTGAGCACACTGGATTTAGGTCTATGGTATCTGTAACTTTGCATAGCCATTGGCTTTAAGTAAAACAATCATAAAGCCGTGAGTTCGACCTGAGGCCAGCCTCTTTGTGCCAAAATTTTGGTCTATTTTTAATTGAACTTTCATAGCAAGAGAAGGAACTGTACCTCACTGGGTTATGAACTTTTATACATATCTGAACTTAAATAAACTGTTTGCAGTAGGATTGATGGTAGCAGATTATCAGGAAAGGTGCCTGATTTAATTGGCAACTGGACTAAAATTGAAAGGCTGTGAGTATCCTATTGGTCTCTGTAATACATTTCTCACTAGATTTTTCATAAATCGTGATGACGTCACACATCTTGATAGCAAGCCCTTATCTTTTTCTTTGCAGAGATTTGCAAGGTACATCAATGGAGGGCCCCATTCCTTCTATTATATCCCAATTGAAAAACTTGGAAATGTTGTAAGCCCAGTTGTTCTCTTAGTGAAAGCTTTATATCGTTTACTATTTGTTCCAACCAAAGAAAAGAAGATTAAACCTCAACTTTTTATTGATGCTTAAGTGGATCAGAATCTAAGAGAGTATTTTTATTCAACTGCATTTTGGTTGTTAGGAGGATGTCTGATTTGAGTGGACCAACCACGCGTTTCCCCAATTTGCAAAACTTGACAGCCATGGAGGAGTTGTGAGTATCATATTATTTCAAGAAAACATTGAAAAACTTTTGATTAGACGTAGCCTCTGGCACATACATTTGTTAAGTCCTTGTTGTAATACAGGGTATTACGAAATTGTTCAATTACTGGTCCAATCTCAGAATACATAGGAAACATGGAGGATCTAACAGTATTGTAAGTCTTTCTTTTTTTGAGATTTTTATGTTATCAATGATTTGATAAAGGAAATAATCCCATTTAAGGAGTGTTTTGACTTGATTTCCATTTGTGCTGAGTTCGAGCAATAATCTTATTTTAGGTAAATGTATCTTGACATCCTTGATACTCGATTCTATGATTTTATTCTCCAAACCCTTATGTGAACTTTTACATTCCTAATTTTTGTGAGCCCATGCAGACTTTGATCCTGATACGGGGGGACTATCTGCTGGAGCTATCGCTGGGATTGTAGTTTCTTCATGTGTGGTTGGGTTTTCTATTGTAGCTGCACTTTGGATGAAAGGTTATCTTAGAGGAAAAGATGTTGAAGATAAAGGTGAAATTTTTGTTTTTGTATAGTTTGCTGAACTATTAGCATAATCATAACTCTTAGATCAGTAATAGATCAAGTTTCCTTCCAAAATTCTTAAACGTTCTCTTCTTCTGCCTCTTGTTCTTCTTTATTCTTCTGCTTTTCCCTACATCTCTCTGGTTGTGCGCACTACTCTTGTTTCAGTGTTCACACTGTACAAACCTTAGTCACTGAACAATTTCATGTTATCTTCTCGAGACAGAACTTCGAGCCCTTGATCTACAGACAGGTCACTTTACCCTGAGACAAATTAAATCTGCTACAAACAACTTCGACCATGCCAACAAGATTGGAGAAGGAGGATTTGGCCCTGTGTATAAGGTTTTAATTTTTTCATCTTTCAGTTGTTCAGCCGATTTAATGTTATCTACATAATAACTGTGTTGCACGGACTCGAACACGTCGACACATATTTTTTCAAAAGTTAGGACACCTAACGCGGACACGTCAATTTAAATAATTTAAAATTATAAATTCATATATTATATCCTTATTTTTGCACTTTTTAATATAGGACACGGGACATGTCCCATTTAACACTAGCCCAAAGAATGTCTCTAAAATATTCCTTGAGTATTAGAATTTTAAAGAATATGTAAAATTGGACACGGCATGAGGCTTATCAAACTTATGTCATGAAGTGGCCGAGAAGTGTCGATGTCCAACTCGACTATTTAGTGTAATCTACCTAGTAACTAGGTTACACAGATACGGATACGGACACGGACACGTGACATGCGACATGGATACAACACGACACGAACACAAAGATACATGGTTTTGCAAAAAGGTAGGACAAGGACATGTCTGGACATGTTGACTTAAATATATATATTATTTTTACACTTTTAATATAGGACACTGCACATGCACACTTGCCCAATGAATATTCCTAAAGCATTCCTCGAGTACTAGGAATTTAAAGAATATATAAAAATACAACACTGCATGAGGCTTATCAGACCCTTGTCATGAAATGTCCAAGAAGTGTTGGTATCTGAAATGACTCGACACGTGTCCGTGCATCATAACCTAATAATCTAAAGCTTTGAAATTCGTATTATTGTTTGCTTGCATCTTTGATGTTTTTATTTGATTGAAAATGATTATTCGCAGAGACCTGAGTTTCAACATGCTGAATGGTCAAATACCAAATAATCTTCAGAGGTTGTCGCGAATAGACTTCATGTAAGTTCATACTCTTCAACTATAAATCAATCTGCACTGTTGGTCTAACTTTCTTTAAATTATTGACTTTTCACAGATATTTATTTTTTTATTTAATGGTTTAGCAATTCATTAAGAGTTGAAATTTTTATACTTTATGATGTAGGTTTCTGTCTCATAACTCACTAACTGGAGAGGTACCTGGTTGGATTTTGGATAGCAGAGATAAAATGTAAGCAATATTATTTAAGCTTTGCATATCATAATAGTCTTCTCATCACTGATTTTATTATTGTACTATTGAGACAATATCAGATATACATGGAAATATAATCTCTCTTCTTTTGGCAAACTTGAGCATCTATAGCAAAACTGATCAACTTGAAAGTAACCTTTTTCACTGCAAATTTCTGATCTTAACTTCATGGATCAATACGGAAAATCTCTCTTGTTAAACCCTTTCTCGCTTCTGACCTGGACTTATGCATGCAATGCACAACTCAATGCCCACTAATGATTAGTAAGAATGGGGTTTTATACCAAGTCTAATTGGCATTGGATGGGGTGGATCTTTTTATATATAAATTCCTCTTAAGATATCTTGTTATCCCATTCGGACCACCTGTACAGTTTGCTTTCTTTTATGTGCCTTTTACATTTTTATGTGAGGTGTAGCTGACTTCATAGCTAAAAAAATTGAAAACAAAAAGCTTTAAATGGGGTCTCTGTGTGCAGGGATGTATCCTACAACAACTTTACAGAGTCGCGAGCAACTGGCTGCCAGTTCTCCTCTGTGTAAGTTTTTCTGTATTATTCAGTTGAGTTTAGTTTGTGGTCGTTATTGCTCAAATATTCTTGTACTTTAACAGGAACTTAGTTGCCAGCCATTCAACTTCCACCAGTGACTCGTGAGTTCCTTGAAATTCTTATCAATGTTTTGCCCTTTTGCTGTCATTCTGCCATTTCTTCCTGACACTGTAGAAGTTTCTAACCTTTTTATTTCACAGAACTATATGGTGTTTGAAGAGGGACCTCCCGTGCCCCGGAAAACCCAATTGTAAGGGGTATTGCTATTACCATAAGACAATATATATCAATTCGAAGTTTGATTGGCTATGACTCAGTTGCCACCATTCTTATTACACCTGCAGATTATTCATTGTTTATAAATTGCGGTGGAAGAAAGATTACCTTCGAAGGAAATGAATATGAAGAGAACTTAAGTGCGGATGGTCCGTCATACTTTGAGTCCCATGATAGATGGGCTTATAGCAGTACAGGGCTGTTCATGGGGGAGGATGATGCCAAATTTGTTGCAATAAACAATTCTTCTTTGACAATGACTGGTGCAGAATTTTATCAAACAGCTCGCCTCTCCCCTTCTTCACTCAAGTATTTTGGACTTTGCTTGCGCAGAGGTAGCTACAGAGTGCGTCTCCATTTTGCCGAAATAATGTATACTGATGACTCCACCTTTAGCAGCCTTGGAAGGCGGATATTTGACGTGGCAATCCAGGTAAGTTGATTCCCTAATTTTCCAACAGACATCTATGACTACCACTTTCTTGGTTAATTCATTCCATCTTTGGATATTTTGTTGTTTCATGACTTATTCCTCAGGATTTTCTAGGATCCCCTTCTCTCTCTCAATTTTCTATAGATGGTTGGTGTTCATTTGACTTTTATGCAGGGGGAGGTTGTTTTGACAGACTTTGATATTGTGAAGGAAGCTAATGGAGTTAGGAAAGGTATTTACAGGGATTTTAATGTCCTCGTCAATGGAAGTACACTGGAGATCCATTTGTACTGGACAGGGAAGGGCACCACAGCCATCCCCGACAGAGGGGTATATGGACCCTTGATATCTGCAATAGCTGTGACACCAAGTAAGTGTACTGTTATTTTGTGTGGTCCACTGTCCTTTTCCACTGCCTCATAATGAGACCTTCTCTCTTTCCATGCAGACTTTGATCCTGATACGGGGGGACTATCTGCTGGAGCTATCGCTGGGATTGTAGTTTCTTCATGTGTGGTAGGGTTTTCTATTGTAGCTGCACTTTGGATGAAAGGTTATCTTGGAGGAAAAGATGTTGAAGATAAAGGTGAAATTTTTGTTTTTGTATAGTTTGCTGAACTATTAGCATAATCATAACTCTTAGATCAGTAATAGATCAAGTTTCCTTCCAAAATTCTTAAACGTTCTCTTCTTCTGCCTCTTGTTCTTCTTTATTCTTCTGCTTTTCCCTACATCTCTCTGGTTGTGCGCACTACTCTTGTTTCAGTGTTCATACTGTACAAGCCTTAGTCACTGAACAATTTCATGTTATCTTCTCGAGACAGAACTTCGAGCCCTTGATCTACAGACAGGTCACTTTACCCTGAGACAAATTAAATCTGCTACAAACAACTTCGACCATGCCAACAAGATTGGAGAAGGAGGATTTGGCCCTGTGTATAAGGTTTTAATTTTTTCATCTTTCAGTTGTTGATAAGGATGAAATCTAATAATTAATATCCCATGCACATAACCTGAATTTTATCTTTTTTTTAGGGTGTACTGTCAGATGGTACTATTATTGCTGTGAAGCAACTCTCATCCAAGTCGAAGCAAGGAAACCGTGAATTTGTTAATGAAATAGGCATGATATCTGCTCTACAACATGACAACCTTGTCAGGCTCTATGGGTGCTGTATAGAATCAAATCAGTTGCTTCTGATATATGAATACCTGGAAAATAATTCTCTTGCTCGAGCACTTTTTGGTAAATACTTTGCCAGCTTATCTACCTGTTAAAAGCATCTTTGATTTTTTCTTGCCTTTCAACTTCCGTGTTCTTTCATTTAGGTCGTGAGGAGCAACGGTTAAACCTTGACTGGTCTACTAGAAAGAAAATATGCTTAGGAATAGCTAAAGGTCTGGCTTATCTTCATGAGGAATCTCGGTTAAAAATCGTCCATAGAGACATAAAGGCTACAAATGTGCTTCTCGACAAGGATCTAAATGCCAAGATATCAGACTTTGGTTTGGCTAAGCTTGATGAAGAAGAAAACACCCACATCAGTACGCGAATTGCTGGAACTATGTGAGCTTTTTCCTCTCCATATTCGATTCTTAAATATGGTTCTGTCAAAAGGGTGGCGGCTGTATGTAGAATATTTGTACATAACTTGTTCCTTGGTTAACTGATGTCAATAAAGTACAGATGTTAGGCTTCAGATCTTATGATGGGTGCAGATAATTTTCACCAATTACTAAGATTCAATTTCTTTGACAGCAATTGTTACAGTGGGACGATTTCAATATAATCCTTCATAACATTTTCTTACTTTACCTTAAAAGTGAATGAACCGAATTTATTATTTGGTGTTTAGGTCAGGTGTTTTTATGGGGATTACTGTCGTGAATGAAGATATATAATATAAGCCGCTCCAATTGTTAGTTTGTAGTCCATTATCATCTGTCAGCACTAAGTCACTGACCAAATTTATATTTCCAGAGGTTATATGGCTCCTGAATATGCGATGAGGGGTTATTTGACAGACAAAGCAGACATCTACAGCTTTGGAGTAGTTGCGCTAGAAATTGTCAGCGGAAAAAGTAACACCAATTACAGACCAAAAGAGGATTTCGTCTACCTTCTTGATTGGGTAAAATATGTTTTACGTGGTTTATGCAAATTTTGCTCAGTTCTCTTCATTTCACCATTTTCTTGATTCTAAACGTGTTTTTGTCTCTTACATTGGCTGAATGTGAAGGCTTATGTCCTACAAGAGCAAGGTAATCTTTTAGACCTCGTGGACCATATTCTCAGTTCGAACTATTCTGAAGAAGAGGCGATGCGGATGTTAAATTTGGCGCTGTTGTGCACAAATCCATCTCCTTCACTTAGACCGGCTATGTCTTCCGTGGTGAGAATGCTCGAAGGCAAAATCCCAGTCCAAGCACCAAAAATAATGCGTCGTACGCCAAGTGAGGGGATTAGATTTAAAGCATTCGAGAAACTCTCACAAGATAGCCAAACGCATGTATCGACATACTCGCAGGATAGTAAGGAACACAATAGTGTTTCGAGAGATGGACCATGGATTGATTCGTCGATCTCTTCTTTAAGCAAGGATGAAACTCAGGATCATTCTGCAGCAAGTAGGCTGCTTCCTGATCTTTATGATGTAAATTTAGATTAACTGATGATGCGTACTAGAGAAATTTGTTTATCTGATTCTCGTACTAATGTTTTCTTGGAATTTCCGAATGATTAGTAGAAGGAAAAACTTTTGGTGGTTTTATTACCGTTTTCAGTGGAAGTGTCGACGGTCCAGTTTCTTGCGTTTTCTGTATTATTCAGTTGAGTTTAGTTTGTGGTCGTTATTGCTCAAATATTCTTGTACTTTAACAGGAACTTAGTTGCCAGCCATTCAACTTCCACCAGTGACTCGTGAGTTCCTTGAAATTCTTATCAATGTTTTGCCCTTTTTCTGTCATTCTGCCATTTCTTCCTGATACTGTAGAAGTTTCTAACCTTTTTATTTCACAGAACTATATGGTGTTTGAAGAGGGACCTCCCGTGCCCTGGAAAACCCAATTGTAAGGGGTATTGCTATTACCATAAGACAATAAATATCAATTCGAAGTTTGATTGGCTATGACTCAGTTGCCACCATTCTTATTACACCTGCAGATTATTCATTGTTTATAAATTGCGGTGGAAGAAAGATTACCTTCGAAGGAAATGAATATGAAGAGAACTTAAGTGCGGATGGTCCGTCATACTTTGAGTCCCATGATAGATGGGCTTATAGCAGTACAGGGCTGTTCATGGGGGAGGATGATGCCAAATTTGTTGCAACAAACAATTCTTCTTTGACAATGACTGGTGCAGAATTTTATCAAACAGCTCGCCTCTCCCCTTCTTCACTCAAGTATTTTGGACTTTGCTTGCGCAGAGGCAGCTACAGAGTGCGTCTCCATTTTGCCGAAATAATGTATACTGATGACTCCACCTTTAGCAGCCTTGGAAGGCGGATATTTGACGTGGCAATCCAGGTAAGTTGATTCCCTAATTTTCCAACAGACATCTATGACTACCACTTTCTTGGTTAATTCATTCCATCTTTGGATATTTTGTTGTTTCATGACTTATTCCTCAGGATTTTCTAGGATCCCCTTCTCTCTCTCAATTTTCTATAGATGGTTGGTGTTCATTTGACTTTTATGCAGGGGGAGGTTGTTTTGACAGACTTTGATATTGTGAAGGAAGCTAATGGAGTTAGGAAAGGTATTTACAGGGATTTTAATGTCCTCGTCAATGGAAGTACACTGGAGATCCATTTGTACTGGACAGGGAAGGGCACCACAGCCATCCCCGACAGAGGGGTATATGGACCCTTGATATCTGCAATAGCTGTGACACCAAGTAAGTGTACTGTTATTTTGTGTGGTCCACTGTCCTTTTCCACTGCCTCATAATGAGACCTTCTCTCTTCCATGCAGACTTTGATCCTGATACGGGGGGACTATCTGCTGGAGCTATCGCTGGGATTGTAGTTTCTTCATGTGTGGTTGGGTTTTCTATTGTAGCTGCACTTTGGATGAAAGGTTATCTTAGAGGAAAAGATGTTGAAGATAAAGGTGAAATTTTTGTTTTTGTATAGTTTGCTGAACTATTAGCATAATCATAACTCTTAGATCAGACTTTGGTTTGGCTAAGCTTGATGAAGAAGAAAACACCCACATCAGTACGCGAATTGCTGGAACTATGTGAGCTTTTTCCTCTCCATATTCGATTCTTAAATATGGTTCTGTCAAAAGGGTGGCGGCTGTATGTAGAATATTTATACATAACCTGTTCCTTGGTTAACTGATGTCAATAAAGTACAGATGTTAGGCTTCAGATCTTATGATGGGTGCAGATAATTTTCACCAATTACTAAGATTCAATTTCTTTGACAGCAATTGTTACAGTGGGACGATTTCAATCTAATCCTTCATAACATTTTCTTACTTTACCTTAAAAGTGAATGAACCGAATTTATTATTTGGTGTTTAGGTCAGTTGTTTTTATGGGGACTACTGTCGTGAATGAAGATATATAATATAAGCCGCTCAAATTGTTAGTTTGTAGTCCATTATCATCTGTCAGCACTAAGTCACTGACCAAATTTATATTTCCAGAGGTTATATGGCTCCTGAATATGCGATGAGGGGTTATTTGACAGACAAAGCAGACATCTACAGCTTTGGAGTAGTTGCGCTAGAAATTGTCAGCGGAAAAAGTAACACCAATTACAGACCAAAAGAGGATTTCGTCTACCTTCTTGATTGGGTAAAATATGTTTTACGTGGTTTATGCAAATTTTGCTCAGTTCTCTTCATTTCACCATTTTCTTGATTCTAAACGTGTTTTTGTCTCTTACATTGGCTGAATGTGAAGGCTTATGTCCTACAAGAGCAAGGTAATCTTTTAGACCTCGTGGACCATATTCTCAGTTCGAACTATTCTGAAGAAGAGGCGATGCGGATGTTAAATTTGGCGCTGTTGTGCACAAATCCATCTCCTTCACTTAGACCGGCTATGTCTTCCGTGGTGAGAATGCTCGAAGGCAAAATCCCAGTCCAAGCACCAAAAATAATGCGTCGTACGCCAAGTGAGGGGATTAGATTTAAAGCATTCGAGAAACTCTCACAAGATAGCCAAACGCATGTATCGACATACTCGCAGGATAGTAAGGAACACAATAGTGTTTCGAGAGATGGACCATGGATTGATTCGTCCATCTCATCTTTAAGCAAGGATGAAACTCAGGATCATTCTGCAGCAAGTAGGCTGCTTCCTGATCTTTATGATGTAAATTTAGATTAACTGATGATGCGTACTAGAGAAATTTGTTTATCTGATTCTCGTACTAATGTTTTCTTGGAATTTCCGAATGATTAGTAGAAGGAAAAACTTTTGGTGGTTTTATTACCGTTTTCAGTGGAAGTGTCGACGGTCCAGTTTCTTGCGTTTTATTTTGGAAATTATTCCTACATTTCTCAACTCTCTTTTCTGCAAATAGCTGTAATCACAAGCAAGTGATTGAATGAGTGGGGCCCCAAAAGCACATGCAGGATAAGCAAATCGATTGTGAGTCATTAACTAGCGACAATTGCTATAGTTTGATTATTCCAGTGTTTGATTTTCATGGAACCACCCTGCTCATGGCATTCTCAAGGTTAATTTTGAGTTAAAAAATAAATAATAAATAAAGAAAAAATTCTCTTGTTCAAGTCCACGATGGCCCACCAGTGCCTAAAAAAGAATAGAAGAAGAATTTGATGTCATGGATTATGCTAATTTTGTTTTATTTTATCTTTGGGCTTGTATGGTGGGCTAGCCCAAGCCCAATTGTTGTTTTATTGTATATAGGGTTGTATTGAAGCTTGGGAATGGGGACGAGAATTTCTGTGTAATCTGATATTTTCAGGGCAATTGTTGAAATCATTCAACAGCTTCCTCTTCCCTTTCTTCTTATTTTACGTCATTTAATCCTTCCCCCATTCTCTTTTGTCTTTTATTGGTTACTAAGTCAGCTAACTTCAGTTGAAAATCTTCATTTTCTGAGCTGCAACTACATCACGGTGAGGAGCTGCCATTGTTGAAGGTTGGACCGTGACAAATGGTATCAGCAACTACAATCCATGGGTATCTCTCGATTGGATTGGATAATGGAAGAAATTAATAGGAAGCATGAGCTAGTGATCTTAATGATGACTGAAATTATTGAGGCTCAATCAGCCTCCAAAGATCAGTCCAATAAGTACACAAAAATAGTCGAGTCTTCGGAAGCACAAATGGATTATTCAGATTCTAAACTACAAGGGAAATGGAGTTCATGTTCTAAACCAGAAGAGAAACTAGTAAAGCATGTCAGTATTTATGAATTGAACGGAGATGATGATTCAGTTGTTGTAGTTACCAAGCATGTTGAAATAGAAACTATTGTGGAGACTAGTTTTGAGAAGCTAGAATCTGATTTAGGTGTTGAGAAGGATGAAGAAAATGTAGTTGAGAATTTGGAGAGGTTTTGGAGCCACACTCATACATGTCCGTATGGACCACAGAGTATTAGCTTTGACGTATCATTCTATGATGCCGATTTTGTTTATGGCATTCCAAAACATGCCACTAGTTTAGCCTTAAGGCCAACTAGAGGACTTGGGGTGGACGATTCTGAGCCATATCAGCTTTTTAACCTTGATGTCTTTGAATATATTGCTGACTCGCCTTTTGGGCTTTATGGTTCCATACCTTTCATGATTTCCCATGGGAAGTCACACGGAAGCTCTGGGTTTTTCTGGTTGAATGCCGTTGAAATGCAGATTGATGTTCTAGGGACAGGTTGGAATGATGAATATACTTCTGTTTTGAAGTTGCCTTCAGATAAGAAGAGGGTCGATACATTGTGGATGAAAGAAGCTGGTGTGGTGGATGCATTCTTTTTTGTTGGTCTGGAGTCAAAAAATATTGTTATACAGTATACAAGTGTTACTGGAACGCTGGCAATGCCACAGTTATTTGCTATTGCTTACCATCAATGTAGGTGGAATTATAGTAGTGAAGAGGATGTTTGTAATGGAGACGCCAAATTTAATGGGCATGATATCCCTTACGATGTTTTGTGGCTCGATATTGAGCATACGGATGGGAAAAATTATTTTATGTGGGATAGGCTGTTGTTTCCTAATCCAGAAGAGATGCAGAAGAAGTTGGCTGAAAAGGGCAGGCATATGGTCACTATCGTGGACGATATACACAAGGAGACTTCCCAAAAGGTATATTATGTAAAGGATGCAACTGGGAAGGGTTTCAATGGGTGGTGCTAATCTGGTTCGTCATCATACTTGAATGTGTTGAATCCAAAGATTAGGTCTTGGTGGGTTGAAAATTTCTCGTATAAGAATTATGTTGGTTCAACTCCATCCTTGTACATCTGGAATGGCATGAACGAACCTTCTGTCTTCAATGGTCAAGAGATCTCAATGCCCAGAGATGCTTTACATCATGATGATGTTGAGCACAGAAAGTTGCATAATGCATATGATTACTATATTCACATGGCTACATCAGATGGACCAGTTAAGCGAGGAGATGGAAAAGACAGGCTATTCGTTTTGTCAAGAGCCTTTTCCCCTAGCAGTTAGCTTGAGGACAAGGTTTTCTTCATCTTACACTACCTGCTTAATCCAAGAATGGTGAAGAGAATGAGTGTGTTGCTAACAACATTTAACAGTTTCCTCTTCCCTTTCTTCTTATTTTACATCATTTAATCCTTCCCCAATTCTCTTTTATATTTTATTGGTTACTAAGTCAGCTGACTTCAATTGAAAATCTTCATTTTCTGAGCTGCAGCTACGTCACAGTGAGGAGCTGCCATTGTTGAAGGTTTGACCGTGACATTTGACTACTCTATGTAAACTTCACTTGGCTTCTGAATATAACTTGGTGGAGATATGCTCTTGCAATTGGGTTGTTGAATTGCAAACTGATGTATAATTATATAAGGGTGTGTTTGATTGTAAGCATGAAATTTACATGGAAAGAAAAAAAATTCTAGACAATTTAATTTGTCTAGAATTTATTTGTATGAAAATTGTCAATTAATTGTGTTTGATTTATTCAAATTTCAACCTAAAAAATGTTATACTTGTCGATTTCTTATTAGTGAGTAGATGAGAGAGAGAAAGAGGAGATAGATGGGAGAGAGAGATAATTAAATAAAAAATAAAAACATACTCTCCATAAAGAAAATTTTTTCCTTGTTTTTCAAGAAAAATATGGTTATGTGGCTAAAAGTAGGAAAATATTTTCATGAAAAATATCAATCAAACAGTACAAAATAGGAATTTGGATGAAAAAATATTGCCAATCAAATAAACCCTAATAGGTAATGATAATATCTTGTATTAAATTAATTCTCACTTTCTTAAGTAATGGAAAGTGATAAGTGTATTTTTGCAAGCTTATTTAATACTTGAAAAGAGTGGATACCAATTCACTATTGGATAATTTTTGCTTTTATAGATGATAAACTCCCAAATGGAAGGAGAATAAGGCAAAAAGAAGAGAAAACCAAGTGTAAAACAATGAAGTTGGAGACCAAATTGCAGAATAGCAGAAATTTGGAGGACTTGGGTGCAATATAAGAAGGTACAAATTGTTATAATTCAAAATTTGAGAACTAAATTGTATAAGATCAAAGCTCAGTGACTAATGTGCAATTATATGGAGGACTTAGTTGCAAATTGAACCCCATTTATGTTATTTTGGCAAAGAGAAGGCCCCTAGGCGCCACTTAAAAAAACTTGGAGACCGTTTTAATTGTTTCTTTAAAATCCAGGGACTTGTCTGAAAATCTTTCTAGTTTTTAATTGATAAAACGTGCAGCCACTGATTTCAATTCTGGGCTTCTGCCTCCTTTCTCTTTCTCATTTCTTTTCTTTTCTTTTTCTTAATTATTTTTCTTTCATTTTTCATTTCCGTTTCTTTTGATTTTCTTGGCATTTTTTTTGGGTGTAAAACCGATAGCACAAGGAGAATACATTTGAGAAAATAATATCAAGCCATCAAGAATATAAATCCAAATCCAAAAAGGGTTTTATATTCACTCTTGTATTTTCTTTATTATTATCTTCTATTTGCAATATATTGTATAAAATTTTCTATTTTATAATTTATTTAACATGTGCTAAATATTTGTGTTGAAATTTATGGTAGTAATTTAATCTAACTTTAATTAATTTCAATATTTTCTTTTTAATATTAAAACGCTTATTTTCATATGTATTTATTATCGTGTTAAATGCCTTTAATTTTTTTGGCCATTAAATTATTAATTTTAATGATTTGTACATTGTTCGAAAGACTATTATACATTGTAAACCAAATAGTAAATAACCTAAATTCTTGTAGGTAATAGAGATATATTCCTATCATGAATTCCAACCACGTTTTCTTTGAAAATTTTCAAGTGCTTATATTTTCTTATTTTGTAGATTTTTTATTTATTTTTACTTATTTTCAAATCCTAATCTTATATTCCTAATTCTAAATGACCCATTACACTATTTTCACAAAAAATTAATGCGATTGTTTGGTTCATAGAGTTATAGTATGTTAAATCGATCAATTATGGTTAATTTAGCTCGAGAGTGTTAATTAACTACATTTAAAAAATCGGGTCTAATATTGTGAAAGAATAATTTATTAATTGACTTGTGAAGAAATTAATTAAGTGACAGTTAAATGAAACCATGAATTCCAACCACATTTTCTTTGAAAATTTTCAAGTGCTTATATTTTCTTATTTTGTAGATTTTTTATTTATTTTTACTTATTTTCAAATCCTAATCTTAATGTGTGTATTTTCTTGTTAAAATTAAATTGATTAAAGTTGTATAATAGAAATTAAACATTCCTATATTGACACAGACTCTCATGAACATAAAAAGACATTTTTTAGTACGAAAATCTTTGTACAATAGTCCAATCGAATTGATACAAAACAAACTAAAATGGAAAACAACAAACATGAAACATAGAGCTTGTTTAGTATAGATTTTAAATCAATTAAAATCAATTTTTTGATCGTTATTTCACTATTTCAATCATCATTTTTAAATTTTTCTCTCACATATAAGACTCACTTTATCTCTAAGGATTAAAAAATCAATTATCAAAATCCCAACCAAACAAGTACATAATAAACTCCGTTCATATCAAATTCACCAATATATAGTTTTTTTTTTTTTTTTTAAATACAAGATAAAATTATGGAATTCTTCAAAATTGCAAATCTGGGATTGTGTGCCAATTGGGTGCATGTTTTGTATTGTGGGCACAATGGCTTTATAACATTATCTGAACGGATAGAGAATTATTCTAGAACGTACATTGTTGAAATGTGTGGAATCTGCAGCATAGCATTATCGTGACAACAAAACTTTCCTAAATTTTCACCACCCCTTTTTCTACTAGTTACCTGTTTATCCGCCTCGACTAACGAAATACATCGTGAGAGGATGTGTTAAAAATGCTTAAATATTCAAGACTCTGGTAGTTTAACCAATATGAACTTACCATTTTTAGCATCCCAATAAGGTGAAGATAGTATCAATTCACGGTTTCCCTCCTATAAAGTGGGCTACTTCCCATTAATCCCATTTTTCACAGGAGTCTATCTTGTCATCTTCTTCAATTATATGCTTTTCTAAACCAGTACAACAATTGAAGCTTTGAGATATCATCAATGGATGACTCAGTTCTTCACAGAAATATTGATGGCATAGATGAAAAGAATAAAGGGTTGTTCAACAACTCAAGTGATTTTCTTGGATACAAAGGCAAAGATGAAAATTTTATTGCCAACTTGCTGAAGTATTCTTTACTTGGAGCTGAGAAGCTGTTGATGGCTCGAAAATCGTCTGAACCATTGGATTGCTCTACTTTTGAGGCCTGTAATGATAGTGAAGTGAATGTTTCTGAGATTGGAAGAAACGAAAGTAAATATGTGCCTGGGAAGTACAAAACTTCGAGTCGATACGATCAACAGATTGGATCGAGCAACGAGCTTGTTGATATGTCGAAACTGATGAATTTTCCTGCAGAAAGTATTGCTTTATTGGCAATACTAATGCTCAAAATGGCTGGTTTTCAACTAAATCTCTTTCTGAGATTTTTCACTTTTCCCGTTTTGATATTCAACTTTTGGCTAATGATCTTGATGGTTCCATTTCAAACTCTAATATGGATAAGAGAGAATTTGAAGAAAAGGCTGCTGAGAATGTGCAATGCCCCCTGCTCGATCACGATGGCCTTCGTGTTTAATCAGTTTAGCGCGCAAAAATCAATGCTGAGAATAGCGTTAAGACTCGGTTGGGCCATTTCGTGCACATTCTATGTTTTGTTCATGCTATTTGGTCTGCTAATCTCAGGTTTTGTAATAGGAAGTCTTATAGTGAGATATCTGGTAGAAGAACCAATGCATGCTTCTAAAATCCTAAATTTCGACTACACTAAAGCTAGCCCCGTCGCTTTTGTGCCTATTACATCGTCCCTCGTCCCTAATGAGCCTTCCGGCCTTGATTCAAAACATAGAATGCCTTCTTCAGACTACTTGGGACGGCGCCCCATTCCTAATAATCACAAGTTGCACCTTTCTGTCTCGTTAACGTTGCCCGAGTCTGAGTACAACAGAAAACTCGGAATCTTCCAGGTACATTAGTTCTTGTTCTTTCTCTGCCTTTTCTTCCCATCAAAATGATAAATGCTGATAATTCTTTGGTATTTTTCGTGCTCATGTTTAGGTGAGGGTCGAGAGCATGTCTGCAAGAAGTGAAGTACTAGCTAGTTCGAGTTATCCCACAATGCTTCGGTTTAAAAGTCAGCCAATTCGACTGATCGAAACTATGTTCAAAACTGTTCCACTCATAACTGGTTTGCAATCAGAAGTTCAAACACTGAAAATTGACATCAGGGATTATATCGAAGGACACGAACCAACAGCCTTTTTTAAGGTGATTCTAGAACAAAGAGCAGAATTTAAAGCTGGTTCCGGTGTACCTGAAATTTACGCTGCATCACTCGATATAAAATCCGAGCTTCTCGGATTAAAGAGAGCTATATGGAATTGGAGGCGAACAATTTTCGTGTGGATCAGCATTTCATCATTTATGGGTGAACTGATAGTCGTTTTACTCGTCTGCAGGCCTATAATTCTTCCCACAGGAAGGTCCAAAGGTTTTGGCTCGAAAAAGAAATCCCAACAGAATAAACTTCCATGGAATAAATCCAAGAAGGTGTAGGATTTTCAAGAAGAATAATCGCTGAAATCCACTCGAATAATTAGCACCTTAATGTACTTTGACATTTTATTAAGTATGAATGACAACATTAACTCGACTTCACATCAAAAACTACATTAATATTAAGAATGTAATGCTTTGAAGTCTTATCAGCAAGTACCCTGTTAATACTGCTTTCTGAAAAGTCGATAGGGCTAATTTTGAACGAAGCAAATCCATGTTCGCCGGTGTCAGAGATAATCTCAAGTCAACCTATAAAGAAAACATGGTTCATAGATGGCATGTTTGGTTCAGGATCGAACAATACTAGACAATATTAACAAAAAAAAATAAGCAAAATACACTAGAGTTACTATTAAACGGTAATGAGAATTTAAATAAACTTCATTACCTTAGTCACAAAAGTGTAACCAAGGCTAGAACTAACTTTTTTCCATCTAAAGTAAGTTAATCAAATATAATTGAAATAAAAAGTTACTGAAAAGTAACTTCACTTCTTTCAAGCTTAGCCAAACATGCTCCTAAGAACTCGAAGAATTGCACACACGCATTTCCTCAAGTAGTCCATTCCATTTGAGAAGGATTTTCCTTACAACCCAAGTACAAATAAATCTCAACTCAAACTGTCAGCATGTAATCGAAATTTAGCTGACACGTCTGGCGTGCTCACAAGTGGTAAAAAGGCACATACTCGAGCCAATAAAGAGATTTAAGGTTTGTTTGAACCCCATTTTTTGGAGGAGTGGATTTTGTAATAGTGATTTTTTAGAATGTAGTTAAAAAATAGGAAAAAATTCTGAATTTATGCATAAAATTATCTTATCATTGACGAACTTTCCAATGTAATTTGAGATCTCTAAACCGAGTGATTTTGAGGTCACGTAAACTATTTGTTCGTTGTCTAGTTTAATCTTGTTTGATTCAAATATGCTTTAAGCATTGCGGCTACCCAACACCTGCATGAATTCCAACTTACAAAATAATTCATCACAAAAATCACTTCGTTTGTTTAGGCATACAGAATCTCGTTCATTACAGCAATTATGCAGATGGAATTTCAGAACATGAACATTTTTCAATTTCGAAAAATTAAACAATTATCTGCTCCTACCGCAAATAAGATACTGCAAGAAGCTGTCTATATTTGCCTTACAAGACTTGTATTACGTGACTTGAATACCTGATGTAGATGCTGCTTCAGAGACTACGAGCATTTATGTACAAGTGTCTGCGTAGACAAAGGTCAAAACTCGACACCACTATTCAACTGAGCAGAAAAAGAAGGCCTGCCATAGTTCCCAAAAGGAGTTTCGACTTTGAACACTACCCCGGTGCTCCCCACATTTCCATTCCACTTGGACCTCCCAAGCTACATATCCGGCGGGT